AGCTTATGACATATAAGCGAAAACTTTCGGTAAAATTTACATCCGATTATATGAGAGTAAGAGCGTTATTGAAAGCCAATCAGCATCTAGTATATATAATCACGTAGTTCGCTGGGTGTGCAGAACACGGTTCGTTGGTCCAATTCTCAGACGGATTTTAGCGTAAAAATTTTCGGAGTAAGTTACTTGAACGTCAAAATAAAGGCAAAATCTGAGGAAAACTGAAAAGTAATCTAGAACGCGCTAAAACCTTATGAAAAGATCGAATGTTTGAGGAAACTAAGTTAATTTTATTAGGAGAAAGCACAAAAATACAAAATTCCAAAGCTATTTTTTTAGTGTTATGGAGCAAAACATATGCGAAATATTACAACATGCACAAAAGTACAAAATGAAATATTTGTTTACAAATAAAATTTTTATGTTCACTCCCTAGTTTATTGTAGCTTATATCTTATCAATATGGTGTAGTTGTTGGATTATTTCCGGTATCAGTAGCATTTAATTTACCGGAAGTGATTCTGCCTTGACATGGTATGGGGACTGGGTCATTTTAGGTATCCCCCTCAGGGGCCCATCTATCACGTGATTTCTCTGTCAAGACCATTCTGCTTGGACTTGCTAGCTGAGAACGACGCGATTTGAAGTTCACGAAGCTATTTCACGATTTTTACCCACCAACTCCCCATTTCCTGTCCGCTAGGCCGTTTTCACAACTTTTGTATGACCACACCTTTGCTGTGCTACATGAGACTTGTTTTACCCTATTTAGGGTATGATATGTTAATTGCTCGTGTTTATTCATTTATATTATTAAAGCGGCTATGAGATTTCCTCATAGCCATTTTAACCCAATTTGTCTCAGTTGAATGCGCACCCAGCAAACAGAGCTCAGGCCATGCAGTATAATGGGTAGTATTTATGTTACGGGTAGGGAGTGACATAAATAACTGTACTTTACCGATTCCTTGTGTTCTTTGTCAAACAACGCTTCAAAATTCAACAAAAAATCTTTACTAGCTGCCATTTTTGTAATCACGCCTGCATGATCTAGCTTAAAACTTGAAAATGACGTGAAAACCWCACCGCTGCATTTTGAGAAATGTTCTACCACTGAGAAAAAACAAAGAGTTTTGCTAGATTGCACTCAGTTACACCAATAAAAGAACTCAAAAGTAATTTCAAAGTTTTTTTTTGATACTTTGTCTGCAGTTTAGTTTACCTTTCATGGACTATAAGTTACTATATAATTTGTGCTGAACTGCAGTCAAAACTCAAATCCGTACTTCGAGCTATTTCAAATCAACAACAAGCCTTATATTGYACTTGTGTGTTAGTATATTTTCGTCAGTTCGCTTTATTAGAGATCAAAATTTTACAGCAAAATGAGACTTTATCCATGACATTCAATTCAAGAATAGTTTGGTAAAGTCACTGCAATTTTATGGCCAGACGATCAAAAAGACGATTTTTACCCTATCCCGTTAGGTCGTGTTTTTGTAGACAATTTTTTTCGTTCGGGCTTACGTTAACAAGTTTAGCATGTTAGCGCTCATTAGCTGCTTCATTTTCAAGTAATCAGCTAGATTATATCATTTTACCCGCCATTTGCAGGAGAACGGCGTCCCAGCATGCATCCCTGTATTCATCCTCATCAATGGTGACTTCCACGTCAATCTCCTSTCCATTAAACACTTCTCTGACTTCTTTTATGCCATTAAGAACTTTTCTGATGTTTTCTTGAAGTGATCCATCCTTATAGCWTGACCAAAGTTCTTTTAAGGCTGACAAACTGGATGACTTCACGATAAAACTAATAGATCCTTCTCTGACTCCAAGAAGTTTAATCGCCAGTGGTAAAACCTTTTGTATGGATTCCAATGCTTCTGGTTTGCTGTGCAGTACAATCAGAAGTGCACCAGAAATAGCTGTTACTTTGGCAAATGTGGAACTAGATGTAATGGTTTTTAAACAGACAACTGAAATATAAAATTGAAAGATATGATTCACGCAACTCTACTGAATGATATAACATTTTGTGCGTGCGATCAATGCGCTCCGCAGTGCATGCGTGATAATACATCGATCCAGTACAAGTCGCTTTGAGCGGTTTCAAAGAACCATCAAATAGCGACACTTAAACGATGCACGGTATTAAATAACCGATTTGTGATTTTGCCTCAGTTGTCAAACACAAAATAATCAAGACGAGTCGAGATGAATTCGCAAGTCGGCTGGTCAAGATGGAATCTGATAAAGAAGTGTCAGTCACTGCGCTTCAGTGGTTTTCGAGAAAACGTCTGGCTTCCTTCCAGCTTAGTCACATGCATTTCAATAACCGAATCAAANAATTAATTCTATAAAAACAAATTTCTATTTCAATTATTGGATTGGATATGTTTTCAATGCGCTCGGTCATGTTACAGCAAAAGTATGGTAGTAAAACAGCAAACGCGTACAGCAACACAAACATTCATAGACGCGTTAAAGAACTTTTCATAAGGGGAGGTCCATTTAACTTTTGAGGGGGGAGGGGATGATTTCTTATGAGCAAGATTTTTTTTTTCTTCGTGGCTTTTGGGTAGGATATATATTTTTTCTCTTGGTGGTGTATAGGATTTTTTTTCTTGTATGTAACTTTTTTTTTGGCTTAGGGTGGTGCGAGATTTTTTTTCAGGTCCATATGTTGTGCACGATTTTTATTTTTGGTGAAGATGGCTTGCAGGATTTTTTTTTCAAAATCATCTCCCCCCCCCCCCCACCCTCAAAAGTTAAATGGACCATCTAATCATTTTTGAACGATTGAAAAAAGACATCGACGCAAACAAACAAGAATGCGTTACTTTCACAAGTTTTGTTCTTAATTGATTAATGTACAATTCAAAATTCTAATTGTATATTCTAGCGCCGCGATATTCGTTTTCGTCTTCTTATTTGTGTCAAAACACTAGAAATATCGAGCCAGGGGTAAATCAGGTCTTTCTAAATTTTCCAAAATAGATAGCCCAACTTCATGCCCTAAGAGCCTCTAGTTTATTCAAAATATGCAAAATTCAGAGATTAATTAAATTTGACCTAAAAAGTCATGTAAACAACAGATAGAGTATCGACATACCATGTCTGGCTAACTTAACAAATTTTCATGCAATGTTTAGAGAAAAGAACCTACTTAAAGTAAACTTATCAAAACTTTTTGTGCATGGACCAACTTACTAGTCAAACAATGTGCGTACATCTATAATATTTGGGTTTCCTATTGCACAAACTATAGGTAGGAACTTGGTATGATAGGAATGTGGAATGTAAACTTAAAGTAGGATTGGCTAGGGAAGCCCAACTAATAAATATGTTGTGAAAAAACTTTGCCCTCTGGACAACTGATACTTTTATCAATACCATTATACACTCTGCTCACATGACGTCATTAAGTGAAAAGTTCAATAGTGTGTTGAAAAGATTCACAATCAGCCATGATTGATGTTTAAGATGGAAGATAGTAAGGAGGAAAGTGCAAAAGAGAAACATGTTGAGCCATAAACCATGCAGAGAATCCTTATTCAGGATCGATAAATTGACCTTCTTACCTTTAAACACCTTCTTATAACCTGTAAATAGCAAATGTAGAGAATAAAGTTTTATATTATACTATGTTTAAATCACAACAGAAAAGATTTTTAAGAAAATAGAGAAATAATTGTAAGTCAAGAAATTTAAGGCAGAATCAAACATTTGGAAGAGTGCAAATACCAACTTCTGTGGACAATCAAAATGATATGAGTTTCATTGGGCTGCCTGTGGTGTCTAGCCTCTTTACTCGGTATATGAATACAATGCGATGAACCGTGATCATTATATATTCTACTAACAACTACAACTACTTTACAACTACTTTAAGGTTAAATTCAGTTACATGAACCTCCATTTGTAATGTGTAGTCTAGTAAAATCGAAATATGTCGGGGATTTGTTTGTCAGGGATTAGTTTTGAAGAAGAAATTAGAGAACTATATTGTCAAATATAATTCATCACAAGTATGCATTTCAAGATTACCTGCACAATGATTGAAGTCATATTCGTCAATGATATCTTGTAGATCCTTCAGTTCTAACAGACGCGCTAAGTCTCTTAAAAGTAATACATCATCTATATGAATCACGTTACTGTGCTCCAGGGTCTGTAACAACTCCTCTACAGTTGCAACTTTCTTTCTCTTTCGATCTGGTACAAGTTTGCAGAAACGGTTTTTTAAACTGTTCAGATCGCCACGTCCACTACCTAAGTAGACTTTCAAGTGTTCAATGGCTTTAGCTTTGAGATCATTATACTCCAATTGTTTTAACTTTGAATAATAATCGTTCGCCATCGAGTCTACATGCAGCCCTGAGCAACTTGAGCATAAAGCGGAAGTAGAGGTGAACTCGTCTCGTACCCAGAGCACCCGACGCTTACCGATCGAGAAGCTCTCAGTACGAGAATTTTCATCTCGCTTCAGTTTTTAACAGCTAGAGTGCAAACACTTAACCAAGAAAACGTTAGTAATCCAATAGTAATAAATTGTACCAAATTTAATTGGATAGAATTCCTTTGTTTTCCACACTATTTCTATTTACCGCTGGTCAACACTAATTCATAGTGCTTTTTTATGCCTTTGATGTGTTTGCACTCTACCTTGTTTTATTTTTATTTTGTTTTGCATCTTTGCTGTAGTACTTGACAAAGTACTTTCTTCTAACCTTTCCGAAGTTGATATAGTTATGGAACTTAGAAGAACTGGGAATATTGTGGCGAATTCGATGATTTACAATCCACTAGTATCTGGGCTGTCTATGTTGTCATAGTCTAGAATATTAACTTATTAATTCTCGTGCCATTAAAGTGTACACTGGAATTAGAGGAATTAGACGATACATGGTGTATCAATATCTATTTCACAGGTTTAGCGCCATTTCTATAATACAAATACAATAATCCCGTGAACTACAAAAGCTAGTATCTAATTGTTCTTTTCATTAATATCATTTGGGATGTCTCAGAAAACTATGAAGGACGGAGTTCCTTAGTAATCATGATCAACCGGCATCCCTTACCAACTTAATTTTGTTAATGTTTGAAAATAAGAATTCACTGTAATATCAGCCTTGAGCTTTATTATCCATTTATTTCCTATGGAGATATTTCTAGATTCGATCTTTCGATGTTGGGTGGAAAGGGATTTGCGATAGACATTTAAAGTCACCTCATTTTCCATATATGAAGAATCTTATTAAAACACGATCGCACTGTATGCCGGTTAACAATGACCAACCTCTTGGGTCGTTAAAGTGCTAGTCTTATCAAAAAACTAAAATTCTTGAAATTTATACAGAATAAAATATAAATACCAAATAGTATTCTGGCCATTTTTTGTATCTATACGTCAACGGAAAGATATCTTTTTGAACCGATGAATTTCGCGTTTTCTGATCCGTCATTATTTGAGAGCGTGCCGTCCAACTCATTACATATTCATAGGAAGTGACGTCAGAGGCGCACTCCCCAAATTCAACACGAGTTTGCGGTAATTTTCAACAAGAAGATGAACAGTCACAGTCTTTTTCGCAGTGTTTTATAGAGTTGAATGTAGAAAGATCACTTTGCGCCATATTGTTTCTCTCTCTCTTGGTGCTGACCAAGAAAAACGAAGGCTCGGAGTACGAGCCCACACTTTTGCCATCCAGCGGATGTCAATGCGTGAGACTCTGGAGGAGTCCATTTTTTCTCGATTCGTGATTGGTTGAAAATGACGCGAGCGCGCATTGTTTTCACGTCGGTTTTTCAATGAGTCGCCAGCGCGCGCTGGCCTGTTATACTTTTATCGCATAACCACACATGTTTTCACACATTTTTGTTTTTAACCAAGTTGTGTGCTAATCCTCCTTCTTTTTTTATCATTTTGATGCTCCAAAGCGGCAAAAACAAAACTGACCTAATTTGCATAATTTGCAACGGAAAAAGCGTCGCAACTCCAGTCGATTCCTCCATTATCTATATGAATCACGTTACTGTCCTCCAGGGTCTGTAACAATTCCTTTACAGTTGTAACTTTCTTTCTCTTTCGTTATGGTACAAGGTCGTAGAAACGGTCTTTTAAACTGTCAAGTTCGCTATTACCTTCATGTAAATAGATGTCCAAGTGTTCAATAGCTTTAACTTTTAGATCATTATATTCCAATCGCTTTCGCATCGAGTTATAATCGTCCGCCATCGAGACAACATTGCAGCCTGCAGTCTTGGGCATAAAGCGGAAGTAGATTTGACCTAGTCTGGCACCCAGGTCACTCGACGCCGACTGACCGAGGAGCTCTCGATATGAGAATTCCGCCACACCAACAACAAAACCAACAACATACCAACCTGATCCATACACAAAAGAATTGTAGGACATGTTCACGAGTCTCCGGGAGAAATAAAAAAAAAGTAAATGTAATACAAGAATACATCAACACAATTTTTCCCTGGAGCGTAGTCATGTACAAGTTACTCAACCTCAATATCTACAGCAGACTCATTAACTAGTAGCGAAAAAACAACAACAACATTACTCTCAATTTCTAGCGCTTTTAGTCTACAGTTTTGAGNCTCTATAACTAATATGGCATTTAATCCGTTATTTGATCGAAGCCTCTACAATTTATACCTTGTTTTTCATTTGTAATTAAGATTTTAATTAATATTTTTAGCAACCCCCCTCTTGAATACAGTAAAAATTTGTCATCCCCCAAAAAAATGTCTATAAAATTTACGATCCCCCCCCAAATTTCACCTGCCCCCTGTAGTATACATTATGAACGCAGCCTTAGCGGTTGGAAATAGAGAACGTCTACATAAGCTACAAGCCTTGAGTTAATCAAATTCTTTTATATATCAAGTGTCAAAGTTCACTTTTCCTCGTATCTAATTGGTCGAGAGTGTACCACGTGAGCACAAAATTTTACTGTTTCCTGGCAACTGTCCACCAGCGGTCAATAAGGGACTGTGCAATAATTACCAGTAGGGATGGGGGGATGGGGTGTAAAACCACCAGATTTCTTAAGCAGAAAATTAGTTAGAACCCCCCCTCCGAAGCACAAGAAAATAGCTCTTACCCCCCCTCTGCTACATTAGAAATAACGTCGAACTTGTATTCACGGAGCTAACATCTTTAAATATTGGAAAATGTCGCCAGTCAGTAAATTTGTTAATGTCGGTAGTCAGCAAATTTGGTTCAAATTTGTCGCTAGTCAGTAGTTATTTTGTCCATTTGTCGCTAGTCGGTTAACCCCATTCAGACCCTGTCCTATTTATCATCTGCCTGGACTACGTCCTAAGAAAAGCCCTTGACGATAACATCGAACTCGGCCTCACACTAACAGAAAGGAGGAGCAGACGCAATCCAGCTCAGAAGATCACCGATGCTGACTACGCTGATGAMATCGCCATACTCACCAACTCTCTAAATGATGCAACTGTACTTCTTCACAACATCGAGAAGTTTGCTACGTAAACGCCGAAAAGACAGAATTCATCTGAGCCTGAGCATGGCGAAAATCTCAAGCAGGTAGACGATTTCAAGTACTTAGGCAGCTTCATCGCCTCAACCGAACGTGATGTCGATATCAGACTAGCCAAAGCGTGGGGAGCACTAAATCAAATGGATAACATCTGGAAATCAAATCTACCCGACGATCTGAAAAGGAATTTCTTTAGAGCCACAGTTGGATCTGTCCTCACATATGGCTCGATCTCCTGGACCCTTACCACCAGACTGGAGAACAGGCTAGACGGAGCATATATCCGTATGCTTCGCGCTGCGCTAAACAGATCCTGGCGTGATCACCCCACCAACAAAGAGCTATATGGTAACATTCCACCCCTCAGTCAATCTATCAGACGGCACTATCGACTACGCTTTGCCGGTCACTGCTGGCGCGGCAAACAAGAACTGGCAGGAGACTTGGTCCTCTGGGCGCCCTCCCATGGCAGAAGATCACAAGGCCGGCCAAGAATGACCTATCCAGAACAACTAGCCAACGATATCGGCTGCCTGCCCCAAGAACTTCCCGCTCTGATGAGCAATAAGGATGAGTGGAGGAGAACTGTGTCGAGTATTAGCCGAGCTAGCTCGACACAGTAAGTAAGTAAGTAAGACCCTGTCCCAGGGTTTCAGAGAGCAAAGTCGAGATATTTTCTTATAGCTTTTTGCTTTTTGCACACGGCGCCGAGCTGTCTGATTTTGATACTGTAGTATACTTGACCTTTAAATTACTACAATATTCTTACTATGTTTCACGCGAAAGACTATCAGAGTGAACGATTTGATTCTACGCTTTTAAAGATTTGTGAAAAATTATGGTATATCTAGTTCCTTCAAAAGCTGCTATATATTACATGAAAAGTAATCAACAAGGAGTTACATTCAAAAATTTTTTCTCTTAATATAGTTTAATTTCAAATCACTTTGTTATTTATCAGTGAGTATAGATGAACTGCATGCCTTTGGTAGCACTATTCTTTACATCTAAACCAGACCCTCCTTAGAGCGTCAACTCGGTCAAACTATTTTAGAAAATTGAGAAAGACAGTATATTACATGGTTGGTCAAACACAAGAAAAGTTTTAAATGAGCTCATTTTGAAAAAATGCTGAATAAGACAGCACTTTTCAACACCTTTAGGGCACGAGTACACCCTGCTGTCAGGGTCTAGCTTCAATTCTTTCAGTCCTTTAGATACCGTTAAAAACATTTTCCAATTTAAATATCTATTCTTATTCACTCTAGGTAGCTTATTTTTTCATTTATAGAAGTTTTAGTAGACTTTTTCAGTTTTTCGCGGCGGATCGTCCCGCCGTAATCGCAACAATTATGGACGAGAAAACCCCCCGGGGGACGTGCCGCTGGCCAGGGTATGGTTTTTGGCCTTGCTGTCTTAAACAGGGTATACATTTCACCCGAAATTGTCTTAAACAGGCTCTACAATTTAGATAAAAGAGACCGATATAATTTTTTTGTGTGTCTTGGACAGGGTAATATTTTCATAACATCGTAGAAATAGTAGAAATACCGTTTCACTGTCCCAGAATTAACGTGTTATCAAAAACTTCTTATTGTCTTTGATGGATGTCAGTATATTTGCAGTTTTGATGGTTGCGGCGTAGATAGCTATTCCTTATTTTTGCGATTTGTCTTGAACAGGGTACGGATTTTTACTTTTTAGTGTATTAAACAGGGTCAGGGATAGACCACTGGCGGCACGTACCTATCCCCCCCGGGGAAAAACCACTCAAAGCCAAGTAAGTGGACTATTTTGCTTATAATAGAGATCATAATAACTATTTCATTCACATGTATGACTTAAAGATGATGTTTTTGTTCTCTTACAATAATCGCC